AAGTGTCATACCTCTCGCATTAGCTGCATATTATCTTATGTTTTTACTATGGTTAAGTAAATGAAGTAAAACTAAAGTGTCATACCTCTCGCATTAGCTGCATATTATCTTATGTTTTTACTATGGTTAAGTAAATGAAGTAAAACTAAAGTGTCATACCTCTCATTTTAAATATTATTTCCCTAAAAGCTTTAACTACTTTCTTTGTTAAAAGCACAGTCTACTCCACTACATTCGGTAATTGACATGACAGCATAGAGTACGATACCCACGTAAATTTATTTTTACGGTGATATTAGTAATGATTAAATTCATTAATTCAAGGCTCAACTGAATAATTCACAAATACCAAACTTTTAAACAAGCAGTGCTTCATAATAGTTCACTGTGAAAGTACTTAAAGAATGTAATCCTGAAAAGAGATAAATGGTAATGTTGTATGTTGAAGCCACTTTAGCTTGGATAATTATAATGTAATAGTTTATTAGAAATAATAAATGAAAGTAAATTACTAATAAATATACTTTTTTGTTTTTGAAAGTACATAAAACTATCTTTGATTTTGTTGTTCTCAAAACAAATTAACAGTTTACACATCTAAGTACTATCAAGCAGATCTTAAAATTCTTCAGTATATACTTTCTCTAAATGTTGTGTGTATGCTGTGCAGTATCATTAGATATAATGTAAAATGCAACTGGAAAGTATAGGAAAGCTTTCAGTCTTTAGGGTTAGGGAGAGGAACTGTGACTTTAATCTTAAGTTCAAACTATACTGCAGTAGCAATGAACACTATTAACTCTTTAGTTGTAGTGTTATAGTAGAGTTTGCACTATGTTAGAATGCTATAGACTTGGGCTTCTTTATAACCACCATAAACACAGGAGTGTGTGAACATATTGGTGGGTGCTTGACAGTGTCATTTTGTAAAATAGAAATTTAAAGCATTACAACTTGTTGAATGAAACATATAAATCACACTGATAGCTGTTTCTGTAAAAATTATACTTGTAGCTAATACGTTGGAAGAGTACAGACATCATGATTAGAACTGTTTAGAGACTTGTAGGAGGATTCAGACTTGGCTATTTATAGTTACATTGTACACATACTGAACCTAATCTTTGCATAATATAGATATTCATTGTTTGTGTGTAGAAAATATATTATTTTCTTGCATCGAGGTGAATAGGATATGCCCAGTTCCTGAGGCTTGGTAAGATATTGGTTTGTTTTTTTCACTATGTAAATGGAAACAGTGGATGTTATTGAAGTGAGCACAGTCCTTCATAATCTTAATCCTAAACAGAATTGGCTGTACCAGCTATTATCTTTCTCAACAATATGAGAACTGTGAAAGAACTTAACCATTACTAGGCTTTTTGTTTGCAATGTAAATAAAAAAATGCTGTGTTTATTGAACTTCTTTGTAACCAACAAGTTAACCCTGTTCTAACAGCACTTGGCACTACTCTACTCATCGGCACACTTTAACCAAAATAACTGCAAGACTGAAAATGGGGTTGTCAGAAAAATTGAAGTTGAGAGTGATGTATCTAAAGAAAAAATGTCAATAAAAAAGTAGTTTGAAGAAATATGGAAATCAATAAGTATAAAATTACATATACAACACTGTGCACATAGAAGCATTTTGTTTATGTACTATTGGACTTTTCTCCTACTACAAAGGTTTAACAGAAAATGTTATAGACAGTTATGAAATATAATTTTCAACATGTTGTTTTACATTACGGGGTGGGTAAAAAGTTTGGGAACTCCCCTCCCCCTCCCACCCTCTAATAAAGTTAGTGTACATGAAAGAATTTATAGTATATTGACATATTTCATATTGACAAAAACTAACAGAAGGTTTGATTAATAATCCAAAATGTCTGTGTTAGCCTTTATTTTCATGACATAGGATAATACATCTCCAAGTACGATGTGACATCCTCCTAAGTATATTAGAGGTGACCTTCACAAATCTTTCAACAGTTTATTGTTTCAAAGCATCAGTTGTTGCATACTGTTCCTTTGCCACAATTATTACTAAAACACAAAAGGCTAAATTGTTAACATGAACTATAAATAAGGGATACCCAAACTTTTCACCCATCCTGTATAGTGTGAATTTAATATGTCCCTGCATCAACTGATCACTGTTGTAGTGCTTATAAATTCAGCAATTTATGAAGTTTAGAAACACCATTAAACCAAAATATAGAATACAAGTATGCTAACGGAACTTAATTTTTGGTTATTAATTATGCTTCAATCTTATTGAAGCATCACTGTTTTAAATCCTTATGACAAGCATCTTCCAAGAGGTGTTCTGAACTAAATGTTTTGACATGTGGATATTTTTCAAACCCTTTTTATTGAGTATTATAGCCTCAAAAGTTATTAATCAAACAAATTTTATAAAAGTTGTGAGTGGGTTGAAGTGTGTGTGTGTGTGTGCAAGTTTTAACAGATGAAATGATGAACTGATCCCATATCTATATAAAGATATATTGTTGTCACATGCACTGATTTAGCTTATTATTATTATTGTACATATAAGGATTGAATGTGAATTTATGTAAGAGTATTAAATGATTTCAAAAGAATTTTATCAAAATTATTTATCAAATATTTTTGCTTATGATATTATAATTATAGTATGTATATATATACAAGGGTTGAATGTGAATTTATGTAAGTGCATTAAATGCTTTCAAAAAATTATATCAAAATTATTTATCTAATGTTGCCATGTATACACTAGAAATAAATTTATGATTTGCCATGTTTGTCTGATAGGTAAACATATGGTTAGTCCATAATTATTTTTAAAAACTCCAAGTCAATATTTCTGCTAAATTTTTAGTAATCTTTTGTAAAACTTCCTGCCTAAAACAGTTTCAGAGAAATATTGAAATCAGTATTTATTTGTTGACTGAATAGAAAACTTTTACAAAACTGCACTATTTTTCATGTTTTTTTACCAGTTCTAATTTTTAACACCAATATTTTGATTATGTTCCTAACTTGTCAGTGAGTTGAAAGTGATAACCAGATTAACTAAGTAAAAAGAGCTTTCATATTAATAGTTACTTTTGACTCAGTGTAGTTCTAAACAAATCATGGGATTTTATTATTCTTATTACACCTATGGTTGTGATATGGACAATGTTTTATTTAAAATGTTTCAGTTTTGGAAATACATGAATCTAGACTATTTATATTTTTTGATGGTGAACAGATGGAAAACATTTTGGGTATTTTTCACATCAACCAATTTAGGACTTTAGTAATTTATGAAAGAAAAGTTGCTTTCATTAAGTTTACATTTGTTTCATGAAATGTCACAACAATTGCATTATTCACAAGTTTATTAAGGTTCGTTGTCAGGTTGATAAAATCATATGTTATCCACCTAGGAAGGTGCTTCTAAAACGTATACAAAACAAATGCTGCAAAATATTTTATTAGAGAAACATCTTTATGATTTGGATGTGCAAGTGAGAAGATTTCTATTGCTGCATCATTGGGATAAAGTAGATTTAGTAAGTTTGTATCAGATGAGATATAAAACAGTAATAATGTAAAGTTGAAGACACTATATAACAAATTTAAAAATCTTATTACAACTAAAGAATGTGAACTTACAGATAATAAATTTGTGAACTTAGATGTACCAAATATAGTTGGAGATATTTCTGGTAATGAATTAATGACAACTCATTGTAAGATTTTGGATTTGGGTTTAAATCAGTACCAATAATAAAATAAATGAAAATATTATAGAAATAAAACCTCTCTCTTTTTAAAAAAATGACAGAGCTTAAATTAATATTTTAACAATGAACTTCAGTCAGCAGGAAAAAATTAAATTTTAAAGAATGGAGTGCTTTTGAAAAAACTTAAAAATTACCATAATTTAATAATACTAGAGCAGATAAAGAAAACAAAATCGTGGTGAAGAATGTGTATCATTATGAAAATGGAGTTAATAACCCTATTAACGATGCACAAAATTAAGTAATAAAGTGATAGTGGAAATTAAAATAACTTTAAAAAATCTTAAATGTTTACCCAGTGATATTCAATGTAAATTAATACCTTATAATCTTCATGCTTATAGACAATAAGTTTTGTATAAATTACATAAGGCATATTGCATTTTAGACCTGGCATTGATAGCCTTAGTGATACTTTAGTGAAATATATATATAATCATTTAAATTATCTTAATAAATTGAATAAATATATAACCAAAAATTTAACTGCTTTTATTGCTAAATTCAAAGTTTGAGCTTTTGATAATAAGTCACTCACCTGAAGTACCAGTTTTAGAAGTGATTTATTGTCTTAAAAACTGGGTGATGCAATAATTTATTATTTAATTGAATTATGTGTAACTAGTACATATTTTTCAGTTAAGTTAAGGAAGTCTGTTATCTCCACTTTTATGTGATGTTTTCTTTGGATTTTTGGAAGAAATATTTGAAAAATCTCCCATTATTCTGGATAGTTATTATCATTATGTCGACGATACTTATTTTTATAATTCTAGTGGTGATAATACAGTTTAATAGCAAAGAGAAAGTACAAAATTCCATGTAATGATTGTAATAATCTTTATGTAGCACAGACTTTACAATCATTAGTTTTAAGATGCAAAGAACATCAAAAGTTTTGTAAACAGGTGGAGAAATAAAAAATCAGTGATCACTCTACATATTCATAATAATATACATCCTATTAATTGGGAAAACTCTGAAATTATTGTTAAACCTAAATTTTATGAATTGCATAAAAAAAGAGGTATGAACAAAGCCAATGATCCAGCTTTGTTAGGTTTAGAGAACTTTTTATTATCTCTTGGCTCTTGGATTCTAGTTAAATTATTTGTTCTGTGTGTGTGTGTTATTAGTACACTATTTGTGAATGTATGATGAGGAGAACATTTAAATATTGATGTAGCTGTGAATTGATGGCTAACTGTGAAGTATTTTGTTTCATAATTTTTTATATTGTACTTGTTAACATTAGGTTTGAAATAAGTGTTACATCCTGCTTCTTCTACATAATACATAAAAAAAACTGTTCACTTGATTGATCAAAATAACTAATCATTAAAAAGTAGTTACAGTTTTATTGTTTTTTGTTGTTTTTTTCATCTCAAATGTATACCAGTAATTTCTTAAATACAAAAAACATACTGTGACCTTTTAAGGTTTTGGTAGGCAGCAGTTGGCCCATTGCTTACTTTTAACAGTCACCTTAATAAGATTGATTTGGGACCAGATTTGGGTTCTGGTTCACATGCTTTGATCTTAGTTTGTTTAATGTAAGCAAACACAAGTAGTGTGCCAAAATGTATTAACTAAAGCTGTTCTTAAAACGTAAACAATGAACCAATTTTCTCTGCGTGTGTTTAGGAAAGATGGTAGTTGATGTCTGCTAATGTTTTTTATTTGCAGACACTTGGTTAATATATTTGTATTATTGGTAAAGTACAGTAACTAAGTCAAGGTTGGAAAGGCACGGATTGTATTCTATTGTTAGTTTTTAAGCATAATGAAAATATAGCTTTAATACACTTTACCTAACAGTATAATGTTTTATAATTACTTGCTTAAAAACAGGAATGACTTACAGCATAAACATAATTACAAATAATTTTTAGATAAAGAAAATATCAACATCTATTAGATTATTCTGATTTATGATGGAAAGAAAGGATTATGTCAAAAAGTTGGGAAGTTTTTGCATTACAAAATGTTAATATGTATCACATTATCTTAGCATAAATGTTACTTGTGTGAATTTGTGAAAGTGGTACAGCATAACAAAATGAAAACTGCATTTCTCTTTTCTGGATACAGTTTAAATTTTTGTTACACTTACACTTTTTCCTGACATCTCTGTGGTAAGCTTATGGATTTATATTGCTATAATATAGGGTTTCAGTCCTGCAGTGGGCACAATGCAAATAGCCCACTGTCCACTTTTGTGCTTATAACAAAAAGACATCTCTATTCCTTGTGAAATTGTTTTTTGGTTATTGAAAGTATATGTAGAGCTTATGGATTTATATTGCTATAATTTAGGGTTTCAGTCCTGCAATGGGCACAATGCAAAGAGCCCACTGTCCACTTTTGTGCTTATAACAAAAAGACATCTTTAATCCTTGTGAAATTGTTTTTCGGCTATTAAAATTATACGTATAGCTTCCAAGATGTGGGAAGTTGTAAAACCTTCTTGTATATTGCTTGGTTCAACTTCCTGGAAGTTTTATGTATTTTACAGAACTGCGTCATCGCTCAAATGTTACTCCTAGACCACCACTTCATGGCCAGCATAGGGCAGTTACTGAAAAACTTGTTCCTGTTACACCATATACATCCGTTACTAGTCAAAGAAATGGACAGTTTGGTACGTTTATCAACATTAAAATAATAGAGTTTTTTTATATTAGTAAGTTATAAATTTTCATTTTATATTTCAATATATTCTAGTGTACTACCACCTCATAAGATACCATAGTTAACTGAAATAAATAAATTTTGCAAAGTCAAGATTGACCAACAAAGAGGCAGAATAGTGCAGTTGAGGCAGTCAAACATTGGAAAATTCTTTTGTGAGCCAATCAAAATTAAGATCATTCATGAAATGAATTCCTGGCATATTCGTAGAATAATTATTAGTAAAAATCAGTTATATTAATAACTTCTTATATATTGAAAAGCCAGTGCCTTTTGATAACACTACAAATCCAACAATGATTTTTGTCATGTTGCTTAGCAACAAAAGTATAACCTAATATTGTTGTTAGTCTATGTACTGAAAGTATAAAATTAAATATATAGACAACAAAACAGGAAAAATATTTGTTGATTTCTTGATTTAGTCTGTTGATTAATGAGGTTTGTTTTTTATTTAAAATGTTCCTGATATAACAGAAAATAGCTTATTTCAGAAAGGACTTAAGTTAAAATTGAATCGATATTTTTACTTTATGTGATAACTCTTATGCAGTTGGCTCTAGGCTAGATGATCTCAACACTTACTACACCTATAAGGTTTCATGGCTCCTTTGCACCCCCATCCTACAATTTCAAAAAATCAAGCATGGTGTGATGTGACACACAATGTGTGTGCATGTGTAATCTGTAATCTTTCCAACCAAGAATACCTTTGATGTTCACACTATTAAGCTTACTGAAAGTAAAAAACTAAAGGTAAATTAGGTTATGGATATTTAGTTGTTCATTGTACCATCGTAATATGTTTAACAAGAATTTGTTCTATTTTCTTTCATTCAGCAGCACAACCTGTACGTCCCCCAACCCCTCGTCCAATTTTGTCACAACAAAGAAATGTGTTTGACCGTTTCGTTGACTACATGGTTGGGGATGGGCCATCAAACCGTTATGCTTTGATATGCCGCCGGTGTAATTCCCATAATGGAATGGCACTGAAAGAAGAATTTGAATATATAGGTACAAATAGGAATATTTTCCTTTATTGGCAATTGAAGTATTTTGTTTCTACACATACCAACAAACACACTTTCATTGGGTGATTAACATGAATAAATTAAATATAATTCACTCTCTTTCAAAAAATCAAATACATTTATAGCTGTGTTTCTAAGTTGTTTTTTTTTAAAGAAATGTTTAATTATCATTCTTGACATAATAGGATGTAAAATAAAATTGATCTGTAATCCATTGCATGTAATATCAAAGCAAGGTCTGCACTCCTGTATCTGTAACAGAACAATACAGACAATTGAAGGCTATTCTAGTACTGTTAGTAACTTGTAGTTAAACATGTTAAAAAGCTAACTTTTATTTATCTCTTCAATGTAAATGTCTTATTATAGATAAGTGCTTATAAATACCTTTTCAATTTCATTCTTCAGTTAAAAGATTTTAACTGGTAGTGATCTGAAATTTGTTTGTACCTGAAACTTTTTTGTTATGTTTCTGGATGCTGGTGATCAAAAATAGTTTTATTTCCACATTTCTTACTTGCATGTGATTTTTAGATTTCAATATTTTTATTTTGGTTGGTATTTTACTAATATTTATTAAAATGTTTGATGGAGAATATATTGATAGCTCCTGTAGGTTTTTTTGTTTACCTAAATTATAGTTTAAGAGTGAAATTGTTTTGGTAACCTCATTAAGCTTGTCTTGTGGTTGAATAAGAATAATATGAGTTAATTTCAACACCTAAAAAAATCATAGCTGATAAGCTTTAAGGTTTGTTGTTATTATTTGAAATGTCCATTCAAAAATAATATATTATCTTTGTAAAGAAGACAAATATTAAAACAAATTTTGGAAAAAATATAGATAATATAGGGATTGCAATGCCAAAAAGTACAGAAACAAGGTAGGGATGAATACACAAAACCACACAAAAATCCCTACAAATGTAGCCAAATCTTTCCAAAAAAACTTTTATCTACAACTAAATGTTGAATCTCTTTCATCAGCAAGAATTTAGGTTTGAATAAAAGCATTTAAATTGAATAATGCTATTAAGTCTTATAATGGTTAATTCCCATAAGCTTGTAACATTGATTCAGGAATTTTTGTATGGTTTTTGCATATTCATCCCTACCTTCTTGCTGTACTTTTAGCATTGCCGTCCATACATAATTTTTTTTTTTTTTTTTTTTACTTTGTTGCCACTCTTATTTTTAAACAATCAATATTAATGACTGGCAGTCACTATATAGGCAGCAGTTTTAGTCTGGCATGATGAATTGTCTTGATGGACATCATATGTTGAATTTACTGAAATGCTCTACTACTCCTGCACTTCTCAAGTTAAAATGCAACATTTCCATGTGTAAATCATTGCAACAACTTCAAGCATTGGTGAGTTAGCCCTTGTGATGCCAGAATCAGAATAATCGGCAGATCATTTGGCTGTTACACTACTCACCAGTTCTATACTTTAACAATATTTTTTTTGGCTAAACTGAAGGTCTTAATAGCTTTTGAAAAACCTCTAAAACTTAAGTTAGATGTTTATAAAAGTCTCTTAGATTGTTATAAGAGAGATTTTGATGAACATTACATAATATGTGGTGGTCCATCCATCCATACATACTAAGTGACAATGTTCTTAGTGATAAAAATCGTTTTAATACTATACCGACAATGATTTTATTTCAGATATTTCTTTTACTTTAGTATCTTTTCATGCACATTAACTATCAAAAAGGATATTGTAAACAGTATTTATTCTGTAACAGTAAGATATACTGGTAATAGTAAAAGTGTAATTTATATGGACCTAGAGTTTTAAAATCCTTTTTAAAGACATCGATTATGACGAGTAGCATCTTGTCATCAGTACTGGAAAATTAATAGATGATAATTAAAATCTAAAATTTCTCTAGATAAGTAAAATTTTCTGTAAAATATAACATTAAACCTTCGGTCAAAAAGTACATGACTATCATTTTAGTAATGTACGTTTTATTTTTTTTCTCTCAGTAACTTTATTAAAACTATATGAATATGTTTTTAAGGAGTTATTTTAATCCATAATCACACACTGAAATGATGAAATTAATGTTAACTGAAAATAGATGGTCCTTCAAAAACTGGATATAGATTTGTACGATTGATTGAATTTTAATTTGTTGTTTAGCTGCTATTATACATTACTGTTTACAGCATCTTAAAGAATGAGTCTTAAAGGTAAAGTTTTTGTATAACTTAAAATGCTACTTTAGTGTTTCAGCATTTGGTTATAAGTGTGTAAAATCTATTCTATTTACAGCAACCTATGTAGTTATATAATCACATTTCACTTTTAAATGTCTCCGATGGGTTACCTAAAAATCAGATTTTGATATCAATGGTGGGCAGAGCACAGATAGCTTATTGTATAGCTTTGGGCTTAAATAACAAACAAATCTTTGAAAGATGTATCCATTAAATAATTCCTTATGAAATTATTATGTACTATTTGCCTTATTTATTGTAAGAACAAGGCTCAAAGAACTACAATTCTTCACTCAGAGAAGTTTGACATTTGTTAATCTCGGCAGTTGAAAATATATTTTGGTTATTTTTTCAGGTTTTCGATGTTGCTATTGTTTCCAAGTAAACCCAGCAAGAAAATACAAGCCACATGCTCCCAAGCTTTCTGAAACTCAACCTTCTTCAGAAATGTCAGATCATGGGTCATCTGATGTATCAGGTAGTGGTGAGTAGCTCTGGAGGATTTTTAAGTATCAGAAGTGCCCCGTGATTTTCTGTTATCTGTGACTGTTAAATTTCAAATAATTCTTAGTTTTATTTGTTTGTACTAAGTTTTCTACCAATCAAAAATATTTCTGCCCACAATCTTAGTATGTTTTAGTTTTTTAAAAAAAGCAGCATGTACAAATAATCTGTATAGCTCAGTAACAGTCTTCTTTTAAAACTTAGCCAGAAATCAATGGTTTGAGGTGCTTGTGTGAATTCTAATGAAGTTTGTAGTTTATACTGTATTATTTTGTAACTCCTTAACCTTGTTAGAGAGATTTTGTATTTATTTATTGTTAAATGTTGACAAATATACTGGGAATTCATGAAATGCACACAATTTTTTTTTTATCTTGCAAAATGTTTGATGGAACTTTAAAATCATACATCATATTTTATTGAGAACTTTGTAAAGTTACTACAGCGATTTCATGTTCAATTATTACTTTGCGTGCCTTGCTTCTCGGGTACTAATCCATGGTTGAAATTTTGTTGTAGTGTTCATTATCTTGAAGCTTTTCTTTATTGTGTCTTACATCTCCAGGTACTGGTTGATCCATGGTTGAAATTTTGTTGTAGTGTTCATTATCTTGAAGCTTTTCTTTATTGTGTCTTACATCTCCAGGTACTGGTTGATCCATGGTTGAAATTTTGTTGTAATGTTCATTTTCTTGAAGATGTTCTTTATTGTGTCTTACCAAAATTGAAATATCTGTGCTCTTTTCATGCTCTTTGTCTTTGTTTTTCTTTTTTTGGTACCTTTTAAAAGTTGCAAATATGTTGAAACCTCATAAATGAGTAAACTTTTTGTTTCATGTCAAACCTTGTCAAAATCAGTGCTTGTTAATTGCTTCAAAGTTCCAAACTGTTCAGAAATATTTATCAAACATTTTGTAGGATAAAGGTATGCTGTTTTCAATGTGTTTAGTGCTTAAAGGATAGCACTTGTTTATAAAATACACTTGTATACCAGTTTAAGTATTTATATGTTTATAGGCTGGTGTGTGTCTCTAGGCTTATGGAAACAACGTCTTCCTCAGATTTTACACTTACAGAACGTTAAACATATTTGAAATGTGGACTTGATAAGGTCACTCAGTTGTTTGAACTTTAGTTTGAACTTTATATAAATGCTTGATTCTTGTTAAAGCTTCAGCTTATCAAATCATTTAAAGTAGTATGACTCGGTGATCTCATACTTTAGAAGATAGGAGACATTGGTTTCTGATTCTTATAGGTGTGTTTTTCCATACAAATAATAGGTACTAGGGGTATGACATTTTATATCTCATATTCTAGAAGACTATTGGTTTCTGATTCTTATAGGTGTTTTTTCCATACAAATAATAGGTACTAGGGATGTGACATTTTATATCTCATATTCTAGAAGACTATTGGTTTCTGATTCTTATAGGTGTGTTTTTCCATACAAATAATAGGTACTAGGGATGTGACATTTTATATCTCATATTCTAGAAGACTATTGGTTTCTGATTCTTATAGGTGTTTTTTTCCATACATGTAATTGGTGTTAGGGATATAAAATTTTATATCATATTCTAGAAGACTATTGGTTTCTGATTCTTATAGGTGTTTTTTTCCATACATGTAATAGGTGTTAGGGATATAAAATTTTATATCATATTCTGGAAGACTATTGGTTTCTGATTGGTATAGATCAGTCGTTTCCAAACTGTGTCATGGCAAGAGTTTTACCAAATGAAGAATAATTAAGAACATAAAAAATTACAAAAAACAATATAAATGTGTCAGCACAGGTGTTGCATGAATCAAGATGAGTTAGAGTATCATCAGTGAAAAAAAGTTTGGAAATCACTGTTATAGATGTTTGTTGCATACAAGTAACAGGTGTTAGAGGTGTAGTATTTTGTATCTCATACTCCAGAAGACAGTTCTTTTTCTGTTTGTTATAGGTGTTTGTTGCATCCAAGCAATAGATGCTAGAGATGTGACATTTATTTATTTATTTTTTTACTTGCCATGTTATAAAATGTTGTTTTAAACTTCAAGAATATAGTGATATCTAAAACTCACTTAGCTAATACCAATATCATTAATGTATTTTACAAATGTACTTTTGTACTTATGCAAATTTTTTAATCTATCTAGTGGATTAGTCAATAAGTTAAAACTTAAAAAAGCCATTTTGCCTATCATTCACACCTACCCAATAGGATTACAAACATCCATTGTGATAAATTACATTTTTTCATATGCAAGATTTTAGTAGTTTTATATTTGGTTTGATAATGTACCATTATTTTTGAGTAATGCACAGTAGATTAGATTGTTTTATACACTGCATATTAATTTTTTTATTCATGACGTTGCCTGTATATAGGAATTTATGTTATGTTAATCGTAAAAAACTGAAGTGTAGATACACATATCTATCTTCCTGAACGCAACCTTGCAACACAGCTGATCTTGTTTCAACTGTTAAACAAATCCATTTACTACAAGTTACATTGTATACATACTGAAATGCACTTTGTTTTTATTTTTAGTAAAGTTTAAGATATATCAGTTTACCGTTGTTGAGAAACAAGAATACTGAAGAGTTTCGTGTGTTTTTTTCCCTAAAATACAAACATCTGAAGTTTTACTTACTATATATTTTTGAAATGATTATGCTACCCATCTTACCACTTTAGCACAGCTTACACTTTCAGTGTTTACTACATTCAGTCAGACAGATACTTAAAACAGCATCATAATAAAATCATTGAGATAGTGTAAATGTGCATATTGTTCTGGAATTATCACTTTTGGTGGGGTGAAAAAAATTGTTTAATGTTTGTGATTCATTAAAATACATGGTTTTTGTGCATTAGTCTTGTAAAGTCACTTTGAATGTTTGTCAGACCAGTTACTTAAACTAATAAAGGAGTTGTGAAAAGTAATTTGATTGTAGTTCATAATTTAACAAATTACAGAAAAGTTTTTAAAAATGCACCTTGTAAATGGAAACAAATGAAATAGAAAGATGATAAATATGGATAGTATTAGATATACATGACCGTTTAAGTTTAATCTGAGAATTATGATTTAGATAGTTTATTTAGTATGAGTGTTAAATGTAATTATTTTTAGAAGCACTATTTTATCACAGGTTTGTTTACGTAATTGTTTGTGAATCGTACGTTGTGTAGTTCAATAGTTATGAATTACTAATTATTTTATTATTATGTCACATTACTAGAACCTTCTTAGTTTTTCTTGTTATTTAATTGAGTATTATTGCATCATAATATCTAATAGTGTGGAGTGTTCTGGACCTCTGTCTAGGAATAAATATGCATTAAAAATTTAGTTCAATAGACAGATTTAGACTGAATGATTGTAAGTCTAACCATAAAGAGCATATAGTGGTGATTTTTAAAGTGAAATTATAAGAGATTATATTGTAATAACAGAGTAAAGAAGAAATAATTGGTCCTGTCAGCTGTGTTCTAAAGGAACTGAACCAGCCTGTTGTGGACTTTGACAAAAAGGAGACAATTATTTAAAGCTCTGAATACAACTGCATAACAAACAGTGTACCGCCCATTTGTATTTTATGTTTGACTTCTTTCATTATATTATTTTAAAACAAGTGGACTGTGTGCTCTGTGTTTATTGTTGAAATTTATTGTCAACAAGTCACAGACACCTTTTGTAAAGAATCTGGCCCATACATAAAACCTGACAGATACTGATGTATAAGTAATGTTTTATGTTTCAGTAGTAGTGTTGTGATTGTGGTTGCTGTTCTGTAGCTAATTTTTTGTTGCTCATGAACCCTTTTTTTCTTATTTAATTTTATGTAGCTTGTCAACATAACAGAGAGGGTTTGAAATGTTAGTTCATTCACAAATTCTAGAGCGAACGGGATATTTATTTATCTTGCAGAAGAAGTTGAGGAACAACTAAAACCCAAGGATAATGTACCTGAAGAAATTAGTGATTCCTATGCTACCGAGAACAACAGAGTTTGTGTAGAACAACTTGAATCCCATGAAAATAAGGACATAGTAGATGTTAGTACTATTAGTACTAAAAGAGCTGGAGTGTTGGAGGAGAGTTCGTGATTAGTCTCACCTGATGTGTGTGTGTGATGCTAAGTACAAACAGGAGTTAGGAATGTGTGTAACATCCTCTGTAAAAACTTGTGGATTAAATAAACATAAGCAATTATTCAACAAAGTTTACATTTGCTAAGAGTAACAGTTGTACCAATAAAAAGCAATCTTGAACAGTCTTTTATTTAATTAACAACCTCTTTTGTAATTATGATTTCTTGGAAAAAAAAAGTGCCTTAATTAAGTTTCAGGCAGTATTTCAAACTGTTAACAGTTCATACTTGTTACTGTATACCCCTACCTAGTTTTTACCAAATCAACACACACATTTGTGATAACTCTCTTTATATTTTGCTGTACTTTTTGCTAGCAGAATATCATTTATATATTCAAAATTCAGTCCTCCATGTCTAATTTGAGTGAAAAAAAATGTACAGAGTTAACAAACTAAATAATTTAGTTTCAAACATTTATGAAACTGGTTAATTAACAATCTTACAAACAGATGTGAAGTACTGGATGTTTTGTGTGCGTAAAAAAGTCTAGGGACGTGTGTGGTCTGTGTATATAAACATCACTAACACTTAAAATCTTAAAGATCTAATCAGTGAAAGCAAGGTATTGTAAACTGGTCTTCCCTTTTTTTAAGAAACTATTGCAGAAAAGAAAGAAATAGTAGTACCTGTTTTAACGAGGAATCTAAATCTATATATAGTAATTTCTAAAGTTTGTCTAAGTAATTTCACAAATCTATCTCAATTCATTAGAAAAAATCAAAAGTCTTGAACCATGCAATTTGTTTGATCACAAATTGTAAACTTTCTGTTTTCTGTTAAAGTGTTGTAAGTTTTATGTTTACATATAATTATAATCCAATAAAATATTCTTGACAAAATTGTTTGGAGAAAAACATTACTTTTGGATCATTGTTATTCAAATTTCTCTAGATTTGTCATCAAGTAATGTGGAAATATTTTTAAATAATTTTTCTTTAAAAAACAAAAAAACCACATATTATTTTTTTAAATCAGTAAAAAGATTTAAATTTGAGAGTGACTTACCGCGGCTTCAGTATATCGAACGTTTTAAGCATTAAATCATCATTCTCATTCTTTTTTATGCTTCAGTAGAATTTACTTGTTATTAAATCCTCTCAAAAATATTATCAAAGAAAAGCGCTTGATAACATTTTATGAAAAAGAGTAGCCTTGCTTAGTTTTTTTTTCATTTAAAAAGCTGCAGAGTTTCACAAATCAAGCATATTTTACATACTAGTAGGAAACTTTGACTATTATAAGCTTGGTAATCTTTGCACTGCTTGAAACTCCATTTACATAAGTAAAATTGTCTATAATTAACAGGTAAATACTCTAAAGACAAGAAAATGTATGAAAAATTGGTATAACATTTCAGAACTAAAAAAAGTTTAATTTTTGTTTATCTCCCAATATTCGGTTGTAGTAATAAAGCAGTTTTGTTATATTAGTTAATTGTTTAGTTTCTTTGCTTAACTGAACTTCTAAATTTTATATTGCTATAGACCGTAAACATTTTTTAAAGCTCTAAATTATCACCTGTAGATAAGTAATGAAAGGGTAAGTTATGTTAATGGGAAAAGATGCCTATTGAAGGACTAAAAACAGTCTTCATAAGTTTAGGTGTGGCCTGTGAGATTTAAATATTGTATGCTTAACTTCTGAGTGTAAATTGACATCATAAAATATGATTTAGTTACTTTGTTGATGTCTGAGGAAGATTTAAGTTTTGCTTGTTTAAATTGAGTAGGATACTAACAATAAAAATATCTGTTTATAAGCTATGTTTGAAACAAGACTTTCTCATACTTAGTTTTAGGTAATGATGAAGAAATGAACTAATGAGAATTATAAGATAATGGTTAGCTTAAATCTACCTAGAAATACTGATTTTACTTGTATATGATGTGTGTTTACATTTTGTGTTAGCAAAAAATAACATCACTGCATCTTAGAGTTCTGAAGTAAGAAATTGTGAAGTACAGTAATAAGTTTTACTAGCATATGTACAGATTTTTGAAGCAATACACATTTTATCATAAATTTATTTTGATTTTGTTTGTTTTTTGGTGCATTTTTTTCATGTATGTTATAATATGAAATGTTAATACAGGTCGTGAAAGTTAAAAATATTTAGGAAAACTTTATCATTATTTAAAAAAATAATAAGAGAATTTCAAATTAATTAATTTGTTTTTATTCTATGCTATATTTGAGGGACAGACCTTTTTTGTTTTTTGTATGTACCAAATAGACTACTGATGCCCTGAGTGAAGGGACTTGTTTCTGAAAGTTAAAGAATCTGCTTGGTTTTTCAAACCTGTGAGATGTTTAGCCATCACTAAATTCAGTGACATTAATACAAAATGTATATGAAGTAGTACTTCTTTAAAAATTGAAATTGCAAGAAACATTGTTATTTGGTATCTTTGTTGATAAATAAGCATTATGTTCTGGAAAATGTCTTTATTTCTAAAAATATTGGTTTATATGTTTCTTTCATCTTTGTGTATTTTTTCACAAGATATTACCAACCACAAAAAAGTAAAGAAACTATCCACAGTGCTTCCCTGTAGCATTATTAGTCTGGTTAGCCCCTCCATAAATATGATTGACCTCCCTATTTGAAATGCAGTAGAAATGTTTGTTAAATTCAACTGGTAACTTGTGTGGGTGATTAATAAGATAATTTTGATTAAGCATGAACACATGATTATGAGGAACCCTGAAATATGTTTTAGCAATTTTTTTATTTCCGTATTCTTGAGAAATATTATGGTTAACTGTACCTCATGTCCAGCAATGATTTCAAAATAGCTACATGTATATTTGAAGATGTACATAATATTCTTTCATTTCTCTCATGTGCAGATGCTACTGTACATAGAATTTGTGCATTTCTTTATGTAACTGATAAATAACAGTCATATAGATACATGTTTTTCTTACTAAAGCTTCATATAATTATGTTGAATACTATATTATTATAGAACATATAATACAGCCAATACAATTTTAATGTCAAAATTATATTTTCAAGTATTTTGTGAAATAAATCAGCCACTTAAAGTTAGAGTAAATGCCACTTTAGAAAAAAATATATGTCTGATAATTTTGAAATGTATGTTATTGTTACAAGATCTTAAGCATCAAGGTTTTTTTTTTCTTGGAAGGAGTTAGAGTGGTATTTACTAACACCTAGTCTGTGAGTTGATGACACTGAATTCAGAAAATTGGGTGATATACAGAGGGGTTTCCAGTATTCAAATTAGAACCAAAAAATGTACTTCAATAAAAGGTTTGGTCTGTTAACTTCAAAACAACTCTATTGTACCGCCAGTACTGCTCACCTCTCAATAGTGTTTGGTCATACTATGTTCCTCATGTAAGAAGCAGTAGAAGTGTTGATATTCAGACAGGCACCAAACTCACCCACTTAACAGTGAAGTAAGCTTCATTAATCTTTCCTCAGCCGTTTCCATTAACAGATCTTTCCAAAACCATGGAGAAAACAGCTTTATAGGGCTGAGGAATCAATCTTGTATTGTTCAACTTGTGTTCACTAATGTGTCTTGGGTGGGATTTGGGATGGGTACTCCCTCATTGCCAGGTATCACAAAGATCTGAAATCTCTTTTCAGAAGTAAAAAGAGAATACCAGAAATCTTGGTTTGGGAATCAACTCACCAAATATGTCTCTCTGACTCACAAACTAGGTGATAAAAGAAACTATGAAGTTTAATATAAGCTTAGGAATACAGTCATAAAAACAGTTTATAAAGATTTAGGATGAACTTTTAAAGCTAGAGTACATAAACTTTGAAAATTTGATTGAGTAACCATTAGTTTTAACATTGTGCTGTACAGCATATACAATCAGTTTTGGAAGTAAAATATATGTGTAAGATTAGAAAACACTAAATTTCGTTTTTTCTTTAGTTAAAGATGTTTTGTTGAACTGGTACTGTGCAAATAATACTATTAAAAGTCTTAAACCTCCATACTAAATGTGTAAGATTGGAAATTTTGCTACAAATGACTTAATATTTTTAAAACTTGTTTTGGATAAACTTGTCTATTGCTCTCTGTAATGAAGAAATTTTTTTCTAGAACTTAAAAGACCTGTATATCTTACAATTTAACATATTTTGATCAATTTCGTTTAGTTTTCCTATTTACAATTTTTTTCATCATTAATTAATGAAAAGAATTATTGTGGTAGTGCCTCAACTTTTCATTCGTACTCGAGTAAATATAGGCCATCAATAGTATATAAATGTAAGTTGCCAAAATTGGTTTTTGATTGATGAAAAATTATATGTTGTTTAAGTTTAAGTTGATGTCTACTTTTGATTTTTATAAAATTTAATATATCTTCGAGATTGGCCATGTTTAACAACAGAGCTTCCGTGGCTAGCTACTTTTTAAGTGTCATTTACAATCTTGTTAATGGTATATCCCACTCAGCAGATGATATGGTAGGAAATAAAGGATTAAGACAAATTTAATTACTGTTTGAAAGCGTTAAAATACTCGTGTATTTTCGCATTATCACTAAACCATTGTCTTGTACTGAAGGGATTAATTACACGTCTGTTGGACTAATTTCTACTTGGGCGTAATTTATCGTAATTTGTTGTATATATATAATGGTTTGATTTATGTAAGGTTATAGTGCAAATTGCACACGAGGTAAAAAAATTCAGAATATATTGAATTTATTGTAGTTAAAATAAATGTACGTTTTTGGGAGATCATTATTTATGGTTTTCTTGATGTTTTCCTATAAAGAAATATAGTTATTCAAATTCGAGTGCAAGCATTAACGTACGAAAGATGGAACTGTCATTTTAAACACGATTTTTTTATTATGTTATTTACGATAACTCAATACGAGTAACACAGGAAAACATTTCTGTGCTAAACTTTTGTCTGATTATACACAAGGATGAAAAAAAAACACGAAGTGTGCTATTTTTAGCGCTGTTTTGAAGTTGATGTGTATTTACGTAACCTCTTGCACATTTCCTTGAAAATTGCATAAACATAGTATATTTGTTAGAACATTTGAATTGAGGTAGTAAAATTAATAAGTGTACTGAACAGCGTAGGTTTAACATGAAACACATACACTCAACAGTAGAACAGATAGGTTTTAATTTATGGTAGAAAAGGTTATTCATATAAGCGTTTTAGGGACTTGCGAGGCTTAGCGATCGGACTGTGAATCTGAAGATTTGTGATTCATTGCCTCAAAAACGTGCTCCGCACTTTAGGGTCGTCGGTCGACCATAAGAGTGATGGTCTCGTTATTCAATTAGAATAGCCCAAGAGACGGCGCTAGGGGTTGTTGACTAGCTGGTTTCTCTAGTCTGTCAGTTCAAATTTGGAGGTAGCTATGCGCATGTAACTTGTATAGCTGTCCGAGAACTTCTGAAACAAACAAGCATTTTAGAACACGAAAATTAATAAACCTGCAAACTAAGTTCATTATTGTTCAATCCATCTTGCAAATATATAGTCACGAAATTTTTTTTTCTTATGTTTAAATAGAGACACTAGTTATAATCTTATAGTCAATCTCGGTAATATACATATTGGATTACATATACCATTTTCTCATTGTGTTAACACAATCAATATAAATTGATAGAAAAAAGTGTTAATGTTCGTGTTTTGCTTTTTAAAGAAAGTGAAAATTATCGACTGGTTATTGAAAAATATTCGATTGAATTCAATAGATGGCGCTTTTTTCTAAATAGGAAAATATTTTGGGATGTGGATACAATGTAATTCAGTGAAAGTTTTTTTTGTCCTTGTTTTTAAGGTATTGAATGGAGATAAGATTATATAAACTCTTTAATATCAAAGCAGTGTTTTAATTATGAATGGAAATTCAAATATACAATGAACAGTTGTTGGTCTATTAATTTTGCTTATCTATTTTACTCGTGTTTGAATCTTGATATTCATCAAAGACAAATTCCTTGAGAAAACTTAGCTTTGTGCGAGTTCATTTTGCGTATATATATTTGGAAGAATAACCACAAAGAAAAGCATTACACGTTTTCATTTTAGAGAATCGTCGAATTTTTAAAAATATTTGTGTATCAAGTTGATTAAAAAGTTCCATGACTCACTAATCAAAGAGTCCTTAATAATATACGAATCGTTAAAAATCTGTTTTTGATACCCGTGGTGGGGAGAGTACGGGTATCTCATTGTGTAGCTTTGTGCTTAACAATAACCAAACAATATACGAGTAACACAAAACAAAAATAACATCAATCTTGCAATTAATACCACTGCTTACTGCTGGGTCCTTTTTGCATTTTTTGTACAAAAGTGGTGATTTCACACAATGTTTTAGTCAAGTATTTATACTTTGACGTTGTAACAGGCAAAAATATAAAATTGCTCAATACAATGTAATATGGGGATACGAACGGTATAAAAATAGTTATGGTTTAAACGTCGAAATATTGGAAAACCAACAAATATAAAAACTGTTACAAAAATAAATCTGTTGTTGGCTTGTTTTTACAACAACTGTTAGGCCTATTGGTTTTTTAATGCTTCTCCATATTTCAGTGTTGAAACCATTATTAAAGTATTATATTCCATGTAAATAAATAGCGTTTCATAGAATGTTTGTCAATCATCTTTCAACCTAACTGATAACTTCTGGTATTGAAAGAAAAGCTTATTGGGCAATGACTTGTGAGAGACAAAAAAGGTAGATCTGAAATGCTAATTTTTTACACGTGAACCTTTGATTTCGAGTCGCAATAGAAAATTTAAGAGAAATGTGGGAGGGGGATACATCTGTAGTTAGTTTGTTTTTTAAATAAGTTTTAGGCTTGTTGGTAAGAAATCTAATCGGAAATTTGAGAGTCAAAAGACTTTTTTTTCAACAGTTAAATTTCTAAATGAGCATTATTATGTTAACTTGGAAAATTAAAACTTTACTATAGATTAATTTGCAAATTCACGCATTATATTACGTACATTCATTATATTTTACGTCATATGTTTCTGTTTGTTGAATTATGCGCGAAATTACTCGACTGTCTGTGCTAGCTGTCCCTATTTTGAAATAGAGAACGTGAAGGTTACTATGGTTCAGTACTCGATCTCAGTTGTGAGCAAAGAGGCTGATGTGCAGGTTTTCACATAACAAAATTGACTGTTTATACACAAAATATGTGGATGTGGCAATACCGAAATAATTCTGAGCTTCATTTTTATCATCTCCTTAGGTATTATGTGATTTTTTTTATCGTGATGATTACAAAACCTTGTCGAAACGTTGTATATTCTGTTTTGTTAAACTTATATTAAAGTTTTTCTTCATTACCCATTCAAGCCGTCTTCAAGCATTATTATTCCCCCTTTGACAAGCATACTGCTTTACCTTAAAATATTTTAAAGTTTGTTACATCATTCAGTGAAATGAAAAATTACGTCATTAACAACAACAACAAACAAAAAAAAAAAAAAACATGTTCAAGAGAATTAAACAGGCGATAATATTAAAACCTGGGGTCTGTGACATCTATTAGAATTACTCACCCAATAGTACTTCCAAAGCTAATTGCCCGTGGCAAGGCCACGACTAGCGTTCTTTGAAAGAACGCCTATCACGACATAATTTCTGCGTTCATAGCAGAATGTTGAGCACCGATTGGGTTAAATTCGAATGTTACCGCCCAGATATTATCGATACTGTCTGTCATGTTTCATAACCAATAGCAGCCGAGATCAAATACATATACAAATATAGTCGAGTATCCCTATAACAACACGTAAATTGCGTTGTTTAACTATCCTTCATATCAATATGTTTATGGAAAAGATGTTTCTTAAAACATTTTTACCCTGATTGGCTGGATTTAATTTAGTGATAACCAACCAAGCGACGCATATAACTCTTATCTACGTATGGCGTTTTTCGTAAACAAAAGCGCGATTGGACAAAGACAATTATTCAATAACCAATACACGCGATCCTAAGTTTTGGACCTTCCTCTAAACGTATAATTTGTTTATTATGTTGAACTGAAATATTGTTGACTTGATTTTATTTTGAGCAATTTATAGACGATAATAGCTACAGACTCGGCTAAGTTTTGCAGTTTCTGCACATTTTAACGTTGAAACAATATAAACTCAATGTATAATAAATAATCTAAATTAATCAAAATCTAATTAATTTTTGAAATCGTCTATATTTGGTGAAATTCCATAACAACAGGATTGAGGAAAACAAAACTGTACGTTTCACAAGTATTTCATTTATTAGAACCATGGTTTCACCTAACGATGCCTTTAATGACGAAACCAATTTTATAATAAATACAATATTTGTGAAACATACAGTGGTCTTTGTTTTCACTAGTTCTGTGATTTACAATAGTTAAAAAAAAGTCAATGAAACTTCTTGGAGTTACAGAAACTATACACTTGTGTTTAATACAACCAATATATCTTTTAAAAATCAAACGATCTTCAATAAGTAATGCATTATATTCCTTTTGGCTTGTGTAAACAAAACAAAAAATCCTCAACATCAAACAGCATTCTCCAGTACTAAATAACACGCAGTCTTCATTTAAATTGGATATATATTTTCTTGTTATAACTTTTCCTCTCGCTCACTTTCCATGTATTTTGTTGTTGTTGTTTAATTGTAGTTAAATGTGGCAATGTAATTTTAATAATGTTCAAGGATTAATGTAAATTATTTTTATTTTGCTTTATATACTGAAGAAGAAATCTGTAGAATTCCGAAACGTTTATCCCTGTTCCTTTTTAAATAAATAATGTTGTTCATTATAAGTGTCGTAATCCTTTTTATTGTCCCATCTATTGATATCCGAAATGTTATATGAATACTTTATTCCTTTATAATACGCGCATGCTCACAGCTAGAAGTGTCACTGATGTGACATACAGTTATACTAAAGCATACACGAGTAAAATAATGTACGTTCTTTGTAGTTGTTCGATATTTAATTACTTAAACGCTTTTAATGTGTAAGTAATAAATAAAAACCGAAATTAAACAATGCATGCTAAAAAAAATACAGCTTACGATGCTGAATCGGGTCTCCTGGATTTTTTACTCGCACTACACTTAATTTAATAAAAACAGAGTTGTTTTCCAGATTTGTGCAGCAAAACGGAAACACAGGCAGAAGACGTCGCAAGAACGATGTTTACATAAAAAGAGGTTAAATGTACGATAAAAAACGACTGGTTTAAATTACCTATAAGATTGACAATTGTGTATTTTTTAAAAAAGTTTTTGACCCCCATTCGAAAGAGTTTTAATTAACAGTCAAAATATTATGAATTCGTCGTTATGTAATTCCTCAACAAAGTATTTACATTATACGAATAAGCTTAGTAAGTAAAGTGAATTATCTGATGTGCTATAACACTTAGTAAGACATATATATGTAAATACATAGGATAAAACGGTTGAATTTATTATCAGAATACGTGATAAGTGTACTAATTACAAACACATTGATATCTGTGGTCTGTAGGTCCAATTTCTATAGAGGATATGGAACATTGTCCCTGCATCTTTACTTTTCTATGCTGTAAAACTTTTAGTCCAAATTAATTTGTTTACGTTGTAGGCTAATAAAGGTTTGCGTTAGAATCCTTCATATTAGATATATTTATGCTAAAATGGATATTTTTGAATAACTCTGACAATTTTATTTATATCTTATGTTGCACACACACACAT